ATGTAGTCATCGTAAAAATTTTTCTTTTGTTATTGTATACGTAATTCTTCCATGGGCAATCAACTAGCCATCTACGTTTTAGCTTTTCTATAATTTATGTGACTTTTATTTGATGAGAAAGAAAGTGGTGCGGTTGTGGCAGTAGAAGTATAACATATTGTTAATAGGTAATTTGTATGAATGTACATTGCAAATGTTTTTGTCCAGAATATAACGTAGTGCAAATATTAAAATTTCAGGGAGACATAGGAAACTCATGTTGAGGACTGCTCGGAAAAATGCTGGACTTTTAATTTATTGTTACATGTCAATACTTGTTTGTATGTACTGAATTTTTGTATTGAATCGCCTGTTGATAGCCCATTAATTTCACCTTAATAAAACGAACTCCGCCCTGGAAGAGAGAAGCATTAGTTATGCTACAAAAGTGCAAGAATGGATCCACAAAAAATTACTGAATTAGCAACTTTATTAAGAAAAAATGGTGATAAAATATTGAGCTCGGAATTTTCGTTGACCTTATCAGGTAATCAGAAATTTTTATTTGTACTAACGAAAAATCTGTATGTCACATTTATAAGACAAAAGGCTAAATTATTTAGTGTATAAGTACATATATAAAAAATATGTATGTCCTTTGCCATTAAAGCGCTACTCATTTATGCCAGTTTTCTTTGTTTTCATTGCTTTCGCTTTGCTGAACTGTTTTGATTTATTTTTAGAAATATTTGGTATTTATTTTCAATCAAACATACATACAAAACTACTATCCCTGCGAACCAAAGTTCCCAAAATCTTAACGAAATCTTTAGGAGTATTTCATTTCTGTAACGATTTTTTTACGAATCTTCAAAGAAAATTATATGAAGTGGTTGAAACGAGTTTGTAATGAAATTTCTGTATGAAAAATAAAGAAAATTCTGCAAGAAATTCTTCATATAACAGCATTATTTTTCGAAAATTCGTACAGGAGTCGGAAGTGTGCACAGTTTATTTAATTTTAGAAAATTCAGCACAAAATCTGATGCGATCCTTACGAATACTTCAAAATGTATCTTCAATTCAGACTACTCTGAAAAAAATGGTTTGCAGGGATGTTCATATCCTACAATATATGCGCACTTCTTTGTAGATGTGGAAAAAAAATTCCTTTTAATTAGATTACCCACTTGTTGCGAATAATATCTTTTAATAAAGTATTTTTTTTCTACTCTATAAGCTTTAGAAAATATATACTAGGTTAATGTAACTGTATTGTAGACCGCAATATGCATTCTGGACTTATCGTTGTGTGACTCATTTGCCTTACATACCCAAGTCACTATCTCATAAATGTTTTTAATTAGATCAAAATAGATTTTTATAAAGTATGTCCTTCTATTTATAAATTATTCAATCAAAGCGTTTATCGTGTTGCTCGTTTTGTTTTGATTGTACTGTTGGCTTTGCCATTACATTAGGTAGAAAATGAGCTCGATCACATCACACAAGCCTTATCAGTTATAATTGATTTTTGAACCTACCATGCAAACGTACAACAGTACGTTCAAATGTAACTATAGGGGGCCTAACGTTGAGTACCGTTTTACGTGTAAAGTTGCTACGTAGCAATCTACCACATGTTTTGCTGCTCTTCCAACAACAAAATGCGTGCTAGATTGTTACGGGTAGCAACTTTACATCTAAAATGCTACGGAAAGTGAGTTCCGCTAATATGTGTAATTTCTTACAGGCACCTTGCTGCGCGCCCTCAACGACTCATTCACACTAATCATAGATGGCGCTGCTGAAATTGGTGCTTCCTCGCAGACCTTTCAGGTCGCCAAGCCGGTAAACTCGAGATCGCCCGTCTTTACCGACTTGCAGTTAATCTATGATTTTGTACAAAAGACACCGTTGCTGTGTATAGTCCACTACCCTACTGATGAATATTTTGATGGTAAAATTGATATCAGTAAGTTTCGTGCTTTACGTCGACTAGAAGTGCAAAAGACTAGTGTGCGGCAGGTGATCGGCATACAGCGGTTGCGTGCACAACTACAGCAGCTCATTTGTGTCAAGAGCCTTGCCAACGTGGAGGACATTATAACGCGATGCGGTGGTGACAACTCAAATGGATTTGTATGGAATGAATTGAAAATTGCCGATTTTAGTTATAATAGTTTGCAGCGCATTGATGGCGCACTAGAATTTGCACAGTTTTTACAACACCTGAATCTACGCCACAATCAGCTGCGCAGCGTAGAGGCTATCAAGTGGTTACCCCATTTAAAGACGTTAGATTTGAGCTATAATTGTCTACAATGTGTACCACAATTCCATATGGAAGCCTATAAGCGTTTGCAATCGCTAAATATGAGCAATAATTTTGTTGAGGATCTCATGGGCATTGCTAAATTAGATGCGCTCACAGATTTGGATCTCTCCGATAATTGCCTACTAGATCATTCGTGCTTGCTACCACTCAGTACGCTGATAACGTTAAACTATCTTAACCTGTACGGCAATCCGTTGTGTTGCCATCCCAAACATCGACTGGCAACTGCACAATTCCTACACAAGAATACCGCCACCGTGAAGTTCATATTAGATTTTGAACCGCTTTCGAAGAGTGAAAAAGCGGTAACCGGCAGCCAACAGTTGCGTCATGTTGGCGCGCTTAATAGATACGCGCAACGGTCGCCCTCGACTTCCATCAATAGCAGCCGTGTGCCATCCTCAACACAAACACCTGCCTCCAGTGTGGGTTCATTGCGTTCCTTTAAATTTAACGAAAGCTCATCGGAGTTACCAGATGCCGTTAAAACCGCCGATAGTGGTGTGGGCACACGAAAACAAGCTTCTAAAACACGCACGGTGGATATACTGGAGGAAGAAGGTGTGCATTCACTGACGCCAGATGAGAGTGATGAGCTGGTGGTAGCTGAAAAACTGAAGCCGGTGAAGGTAGCTTTGAAAGCATCAAACATATCAATTGAAGACGACACACAACATCTGGAGGCAAAGAAGCAAATTGAAACCCTACGTGAGAAGTATGGTGCTAACTGGTTGCAGTCTGGCAATGCAGAAATGATGCAGAGTGTTTTAGGTTCGGCATATAAAGAAAATAAATATTTTGTATTAATATATCGAATTTTTGCAGGCATTGAAACCACAAATGGCGCACCTACAGGAGTAATAACAACGACGAACACTTCTAGGCAACTTTTTGACGATTTTTTGGGTGAACTTTCTGAGTCAGCGCTTGCGGCAACAGCTAAACCCACAACGCAGAGAGAGACCAATGATATGCTTGAAAACACATTGCATTCGTCCACCCCAATGAATAATAGCTATTTAAGTGGAGATGTGCCTAAACTTGAAGTTTTCGCTCCACCCATTAAAGCGAATGAGCCACTTGGCAATACAGACACAACTTTGTATCAAAGTATGGACAGCACCAACTCTAATGTTAATCAAAATCATACGCTTTATCAATCGGTAAATGATGCTGATAGCACATTGATGCAATCGACGGCAGATTCTTTGAATTCTTCTTTAGAACAACGGAGTATAAGTGATTTGACAGTGGCAGAGGACGATGATGAACATCCGCATTTGAAGGATGTTTATTCAAATGTAGCTGACGAAGAGCCTGAAGGTATGCATAAAAGTGCTTGAAAGATAGTTTATCTATCTATTTTTAACCGACTTCAAAAAAGGAGGAATATTATATATTTTTTTCGTTCTGTATATGTTACCGCATAACTTTGGACCACGTTAACCGATTTCGATAATTCTTTCTTCATAAGAAAGGTGGTACCTCAAGGGTGGTCCCATACTAATATAGTCCGATAATTGGATAGTGAAGAAATTAACGATAATCTTAAATTTGTATATGAAAATTTACATCTCTTTGGTTTTTTGCTTAAAAATTACTTATTTTATTGTGTATTTGCACTGATCTAATAATTAAACTTTCACTTACTTTTTGTTATAAAATTCGTATAGTCTCAGAACCCGAAGACGATGAAGTGACTTATATAGTCTACACAACGCCACGTAATGAAGCCGTATTTTTAACCATATCAGAAAATTACTTGCGTGTGCGCGATACATTAACACAAAAGTATGTAGTTAAAAAATATGTTTACTATATAATTTGTATTGCAATTAATATGTGCTATTTCAGAACCATTACCAAGTGGAGCCTGAAAATTTTAGAATCTTGTGATCGCATAAAATCAAATACGATACGTATAAATTTCGATACAATCAAGGCGGATAAGAAAGAGCGCATCTATACTGTTGAAGATGGGCTTTGTCAGGTATTCAAGATCATACAAATTTTTAAGTGACGGCTTACTTCTTCTTAAAAGTTTGCCAAAATAAAACGCTCACGATGGTAAAAGCTTTTAATGCTTTCGTCAAGTTTCTATAATCCTTTTGAGGCAAAGAATTTCAATAAATTATAAATTGTCAATTTTTGCAAATAATTATATTGAATTTTGCTTTGTAAGCAGAATCTAATTAATATTATACCCTTGTAGGAGCTCGAGCGCAAATTACGTGATATACTCTCACAACGTGATCTTGCTGACATGAATCAAACCGTTTATCGCTGTGTTAATTGTGCCTGCCAGTTCACAGCAGAGAATAAAAAGATGCCGCGGCAACAGGGTAAGCGGTTTACAAAAAAAGTTTGAATTGTGTATATATATTTTTCCCCATGCCATTTAGATGTACATTGTCCTTACTGCAAGAGCACCTTTGTCGCCGAGGTGCATGACATACCAAAACTGCAACCGGAGGCAACTAGCGAAAAGCTCTCACCGGCGGCAATAGTCGATGAGGAAACACCAATTAGCTCTGGTACACCACCGAAATGTCAGCAATCACACAACAACGTAGCGTCTAATATTGAAGTTGTTAGTGTTAATGATACGAATAGTATTGGTAAGTTAAAAAAACACCCCCCATCATAAGCAAAGAATTAATTTCTTTAATTTTTCCCGCTAATTTGATTCACTTTGAAATTCATTTTTGATACGTGTAAATTTATTTTTAATTATATTATTGTTAGAACAAACAAAAAAAGAAACCCCTTAAACTAAAAAAAAACTGTGATTTATAAGTTTACTAAAAAATTTATTAAATATATGTATGTAGTATATTCATGTATGTACATAACTTTTTAATTTCTGTTCCATTTATTTATTACAATTTAATGCAATATTTTTATTTCTTTTCTTCATTTGCATGCAACAACTACGATGCAAACAAATCAAAAACAAAATCCACTCAACTAACTTTCAATTATATTGTGTACTGTTTTTGCTTAAAATTTTTGTCAAATTAAAACCGCTGTAAACAAAATGTACATTGCCAAAGTTAAAGGACCGACCAGGCTTACCGCAATTAAAACACCCAAATATAGGAATCCACTACAGGGGCTGAAAAGTTAATATCTCTCTTTTAAAATGCTTTTAATTTTTTCAGCAAAAGTAGCATTGATTTTAACAAAATTTTGGGGAAAAAAATTTAGACAAAGAAGTTCAAAATTTAAATTGGCCTAATCAATGCTCCTTCTTTATTTACAATACTTTACTTTTTATGCTTAATATTAAAGCCCTGTGCCCAACTCTGTAGTTAAATGGTTTTAGCAAGCAATTTTTCTCATGACTAAAAATTATACGGATAATATCTTAAATAATGTCTCGAAATTAAACAGGCGAGATTCGTATGAAAAATACTTACAGGCTTCGAGTTTCCCAATTTTTTGTGCTAAAAAGATTCCCCTGATTTTTCCCCCCTAAACTTTATCGAAGCTCTTTTAATATTCAGCGACGGTTTAATGTAACTCCCAGAATTAATCCCTTAAAAGTCATTATTTCTTAAAAAAAAAAATATAGAATTTCAGCAACCCATTTTAGCCTACTGTAAAGGTCGATCCCCGGAAATTGATCTTATTCTTTTGTTTCAAAAATTGTGAAGCCTCTTAAGAAGTACTCCCTAATGGCATTTCTAGATATAGCAGGGCTTTTAACAACATATGTATTTCTGAACGCAATAACCTCCGCCATGGCATTACAGTCCTCCGAATAAACAGGTCTCTAGTTGAACTCATCTACCCACTCCCAGTGCTCACCCTTTATAAAATTTTTAATTTTAGAAGAATTATATCAATAAAATGTAAATGTAATAAAAGCTTAATAAAGTCTTGTCATTGCACATTAAAATGAAAATAATACATATAAAAACGGGCACCTGGATTGGCGTTTTATCGTATACATCAATAATATAAGCCTTAACAATTAGCCTATAACAACAGCTTGGGTGCAGGATAGAACATAAGTATGTTTTATAGAATTTTTATCATAAATTATCCACTATTAAAATTTAATATTTCAATACCTTTTTGTTTTCACTGCCTCTCCCTCTTATCTAATAAACCATCCAACATAAAAAATGTAAAGGCTCTGCTAATTCACTTAACGAATCCTCTTCCTGCTCGAAAATTACCAACTCACAAAACTCCTTCGATTCTAATCAATCGGTTGTGGGTAGCTCCAACACCGAACGTCTACAGGAGTTTAATGGCGACGAAAGTAGCGATGTCGATATCATTTCCAATCCCAGTCAATCAAGTATTGAGGTATTAGATCATAATGCTAGCCGTAAGGCATCTGAGGAGCGACGCTTAGCCCATATGACACCGCTGGAGCCAATCTATGACTTCAGCTATACGCAAAGCTTTATTGAACGCGAATTCGGCAATACTGCTACTGCGGCTATGCTTGAAAATCAAGCAAAAGTGGGGAAAAACACAACTGAGAATGCTGCATCATCAACAACAACAACAACAACAACAGTAGCGGCTGAGCCTGCAACAATGACATCTAGCTCTGCTGTGGCACCTGTCACCAACGCCGCCTCCATTGGTGTTCTGACACATTTGCAGCTTATCGAAAGCAGCTCTTCCGGATCGGTAACGGATAGCGTTTGCACCGCTTATGAGCAACAACAGCATCAGCAACTATTGAAAAAAACACCCTCCGCCGATGAGTTGCTGTCAAAGAGCGCTGAGAAAATGATTTTAAAAAACCTGCTAGCAGCCGAGAGTGTAGCAACGCTGGCGGAGCGCAGCTTCACGTCAGAGCAAACGTTACCGAAGGAGAATGAAGCAAATGGTGTCACTAATGGGCATGCAACGAAAAAAGAAGACAGCAAGGTATCATCCATATTTGGTGGTAAGCTATTGCTAGATAGTAAAATTAATTAAACGAAATTTAAATTCTACTTTACTTCTACTACTCCTACAGCTCTTATGCAGACCACAAACAACCTCATGTCCAGCTCGAAAAAAGCAAACGCACTAGCAAATCAACAATTTTCTACGTGTCAGCCATACAAATACAATTACGCAGATTTCAATGATGTCGACCATCGCTTGAAATTGTACTTTTATCAAACAAAATTCGATGAGAATGAACAATTGAAATGGTTGGCGCGTGGACGCATATACAATGGCACTACTAAAACACTTTGTCCTGGTATAGTGGTCTTGTCCACCTGCAAGTGTTACCTTATGGAGGCATTCGCTCCTGAAAATGAAGATGTCACCAAGTGGCTACGTTTGTTGGGGAGCGTCACCGCAGATCGACTAGAATGCATACATCTGCTGCCGTGGAAAATGGGGCTAGAATTTACGCTGCGCGATTGGGGCAGCTTTTTGCTGCTGTTGCAGGATATTCTGCGCACCGATAGTTTATTGTTATACTTTGCGAGTGAGTAAAGGAAAAATTTCTTTAAATAATAGAAGCAAAACATTTTCCAAATATGCAATAATTTATTGTATAAATATTAATACTTCCATTAGATAACTCGCTTCCTTCGCAGTGCGAGCTCAAATATCAACCATCTACAGAGTTGCTGAAACGCCTCAACAACGCCGTCCGTGACGAGCAATTAAAAATGTGCGCACTACTCAATGGTTGTACTGTTACTTGTGGCCAAGCAAAGCGTAGTTTAAACAATTGTACTCTACTGACTACCGACACACACCTATGCATCAGCTCTAGTAAATTCGATTGGCTAACTACCGCTGCCGCAGATGCGGAAATGGAAATTTGCTTGACTCAATTGATGTCAAATCTCGTTGAAGTGGAACAAGTGGATGCTAATACCTTTACAATAAATTATCTAGATGAAACTCAGGATCAGACTGAAATATGGCAGTGTACATTTGAGACGAAGGAGAATGCCAACAGCTGCTTAAATGCTATTGCACAATCTTGGGAGAAGCTTTTCGGCGTACCACTCCTAACTACGACGTGAGAATTGCATATTTTCAAAGCAATTATAATATATGTATGTATGTATCTATGTATAGACAAATAGTTTTTTACCAATTCGGATAATGAGTGTATTTGGTGCAGCGAAAGCAAGCTAAGTTGACGCCATATATAATGTAGAAAAATAGCAAAAAAAAAAATCTTCACAAATTTGCAATTATTTATACTGTATGCAATACAAATAATTTTTTACATGTTTAACATAGCGTTAGTTCTTCGTACATAATACATGCATATTTACTTTGTGTCTGACCTTACATACTTGCATATATAGCAAGTCTTTGATTAAAATAATTAAAAGATACTATTGAACGTGAACTTACTAGAAGTGAATGTATGTATACTTTACAATTGTTTTATTTTTATTCTTTTCGATTACGCAAATTAAAAAAAATATATATACATATATATTTAAACCAAAAATTGTCATCATTGCAGCAGGCAGTCAGGATTTTTTGACTTTTCATTGAAGCGGTATTTTAGAATAGAAATCATAAGTTCACCAGCTTCGATCAAACGTGATATCTTTATCGTTGATGCTTCGTTGGAGGCGAAGAAAAGCGCGAGTTATTTAGCCAGGTGAAACCCTAAAAAGCCATTAGCTTGAAAAGGAGACATTTATCTGACTGAGATCCTCGATTTGTCATTGGCCACTCGTAACCATTCTTAAACCCAGGGCCCTGCCAAAACTTGGGAGCATTACCACTCATGGAAACTTGGTAGAAGTACCAACTCCTTGGAGCTTGCGTTGTGCACACAGTCCATAAACGGAATGCTGGCATCAACTTTGCTAACCCATCGCACTGGATACTGTAGTAGGCTTAGCTTCTACTTATCCAGACTCGACCCCGGCACATGTCCGGCTTGGGAAGGCTCCAGACAGGACCCCAACGGCCTATTAACTTAAACAAAAATACATATAGAAACCCAACCCCAAAAAAATAATTACATGTATTTTGCTATAGTTAATTTTGAAGCAAGTATGTATTTTCGCTTAATAAAACTTTTCAACACTAAACAGTAAACGCAAAATTCACTATTAATAGAAATTATGCACTATTAATTTATTTAATACGTCTAAGCTAATTTCAGAAAATAGAAAATATTTCCTAAAACCTACTGCTTAAATGTATTGACAGTGCCGCCTTCAATATAACGGTATGGTCTAGCGCGTATACGCTTTGCAAATGCCTTTATGTAGTGTTTCTCCCGATGATACTCCACGGGATTGTAGAGTGGACCCTCCGTCTCCAAGAATATATCAAAACTGTACATTGTACGCACTAGTTGAGTGGCCAATAACGCCAATGGATGTTGGAGCATCGCTTGTGTCAATGAATTTGTCCAAAACTCCATTGATTTTACTGCTGCACTGTTTGCGGCATTATGCTGGCCATTCCAGTAAATGCATATAAACCAGATTGGACTTTCGGCAGGAAATTTACTACTTATACTAACTAGACATTCCATTTTGGCTGAGCCGCGCACGACTACAGCGCGATAGAAGAGTTGATTGCCATTGATGAGTTCGCAATCGGTGTAAGGCGCCGATGACAAGTACTCTTCGTAAGTGAGTGCTGTCCACTGCACGAGGCTACATGCAGGTCGTGTTGTAGGCAAACGTTCTTCTTTCAGATACAAATCGATTTGCTTTTGCACCAAGGCGCGTATTTGTTTGATCAAATTCAAGCGCGAAGTCCAAAGGTGCTGTATAGATTTAATTAAATCTGGGATCAATTTCTGCAACTTTGGTGGTTCTGGTACGACGACGGATTCTGATGCATCACTGATTTCGTTGAACACTTCAATACAGCACATGGTCTGCAGCCAACGGTAGGGGCGTCCGTAATCTTTAGAGTTCAAATATTCGACACATTCTTTTGTAGTCATATTTATGTTTTTCAGCTCATATTCTGCACCTGGTACGGGTATGGTTTCGCCCATATCGTCATCATTCAAATACTTAAGCACGTCTTGAGTTAGCGTTGCATCTGCAAAGCTCTGATCTGCATCACTCAAGCTGACCACCGTTGCAGCAGTAATAAAGCCCAGTCGCTTAAAGTAACGAAGTTTTACTGCTATGGACTCATCCATACTTTTCGCACCATTGCCAATTGTGAAGCGTACTTCAAGCGGGTGTGGTTGTAAAATACGCTTGCGCTGTTCCTGCATTAAATCTACTAGTAATTCGCTATTACCGCCGTGAGTTTTACGTTTCTTTGCAACACTGCTTACGTCTATCTCATCTGTGTCCGAACTAGCGCCACTCTTAATTGTTTCTGTTTGCGCAGCCAATTCCAGTTGTCGCACATCATCTTCACAACCCAAAACTACTACACAAACATCGCATTCTTTTGCTAACTCTATTGCGTGTATATTCATGTAAGCTAAATAAAGTGGTCGAGGCAATAGCTGCACTAACTGTTGCAATTTCCATTCACGATCCATTGGTACTTGAAGAGCTTCTTGCAACGGCCGTGTGGCTTTCATCAAAGTACGCAATGATGGCGCAAACGATGTAAGTTTCTCTGTTTTCAAAACGATATCCCTGAAAACTTGCTGCTTTGTATTCAGTAGTTCTTTGCATTGTGCTGCCAGCTGCTTACGCAAATTCAACTCACGCTCCAGGCGAGCCAAATGCTTGGCATGTCCTGACAATGGCGACACGTTCGTGGGCATGAGCTCTTTATCATTCTCAGTTGGTTCTTCATTTTCTGGCACCAATTCAATGTCTTCATCTTGACTCTTGAATTTGTGGCAATATCGTATTTCACGCTTCAAGTGATTGACCTCGTATAGCAAATTCTGTAGGTGCAATCGATTGCTGTCTACGCGCACTTTTTCGCGATGCAAATCTTCACGTCCAGAGCGAAGGCTGTACTTCACCATCCGATTTACTTTCTTGATCAACACGAACAGCAGTGAAGCATACTTGCGTTTCTCGGTAAATTCCTCAGAACGATCGCGTTCTCCAGTACTATTTTTCATCCTGAGCACTTCGTCAAAGATGCTACGTAGCGTCTCGAAATTCTTATGCAAGGAATCTGCCATTGTTTTAGAAGAAATATAAGGTTTTGCAAATGAATCCAAGCATAAATACACAGAAATGAATGGCGAACGGCGATAAAGAATCCGACAACATGGAAACTAAACTGACATATCTTTGACAGCTCGTGTTTCGGCAAGGTTTAGTGATGGCACGATTAATCGAATAACCGATTATAATCGGTTATTTTCATTCGGTTAACGATTTAATTGTATCGATATTTTCCTTTTTATGCAAAAATTTAATGGGCTTACATAATAATAATAATAATAGATTGGCGCTTACACATATGTTAGTGTTTGGACGAGCTTCTCGTCCGATTTGTGGCGTGCGCCTTGATGTTGTCACACAGAGCGGAGGGACCTACAGTTTTACGCCGACTCCGAAGGGCGATTGTATTTTTGTGAGAAGCTGTTTTTCATGGCAGAAATACACTCGGAGGTTTGCCATTGCCTGCCGAGAGACGACCGCTGTTAAGAAAAACCCTTTTTTCTTTATTTTTGCGATTTTGCTTTGACCAGGGCTTGAGCCCAGGCGTTACGGAGTGGAAGCGCGCACTGCTTACCACTACACAACAGCGGCAGCAATGGGCTTACGCATACTGAAAATCTTTCTAAGAAATCAAATTAAAAATCTCGATTTTTTTGAATAACAAAAAGAATTCCTGTGATGCGCTTATAATTTTGATACGGGGTGTATAACGGATGGTATACTACTTTAGATCTTTTTATTTATTGATTGCCTTAGTTTTTTGTTTTCTTGATTGTT